GACGACCCCGTCGGAGACGCCCCAGGGCCCGAAGGCTGCCCAACAGGGCTCCAAGATGGTCGGAGACGCCCCGACAAAGTGGAACGGCGTCAAACGGACAGCACGGGAACCAGCATAATGCGCTTCGAAGCGGCACAGCGTCAAACGGACAACTCGGGAATCAGCATCATGCACCCTATAGGCATCCACTTTTTTGTTTTTCTCTTCCTCGCAAGTCACGCCCTTTTGTCCTCCAAGGTCGGGGTTCGTGGCTACTCTCTGGCATGCTGGAGCCCTTCTTGGGCCATTTCAGAAGCCATCTGCGGCCGAGCATCTGATTCAGACATCTCCTCCCGAAAAGTTGGGTCATCGTTTCTTAACCAACTTGTCGGGAAGCTGGCCCAGTTTCTTGAGCTCCTTCGCCCCTCCAACGTTAACGGCACGCGACGTCTGGGCAGCTGGCCCAGAGTTCTTACATGATAACGTCCTTGATCATGTTTTCGGCTGTATGGCATCTTGGAGGCCAAGCAGAATGTATCTAGAGGTCCGGAGGGCCCCAGAAGTGCGCTGACGAGCTCGTCCCCACCACCCCACCACTACTTTGGGGCAGCGAGACAGCCAACCATCTCATATGGGGTGTCGGCAGATTCACCTGCCTCCTCCCCCTCCGGCCACTCCCTGTGCTCGTCCTCCTGCCTCCTCCTCCTGCTGCTGGACAGGACCGCACCACTGCGAGAAAGAATGCCTGCCGGAGATTCGAGTGGCCTCACGGGGCGATCAAGGACCCAGAGCGGAGGAGGAGGAGGAGGAAGAGGTGGAGGAAGACACGGACTAGGAGGAGTAGGAGGATGGGGAGGGAACATTGTAGGAGGAAGAAGAGGAGGAGGGGGAGGAGGAGGAGAAGGAGGGAGAGGAGGAGGGGCGAGGAGTAGAAGAAGGTGGAAGAGTTGGGGCGGGGAAGTTCTAGAAGCTAGGAGTTGAGGATGGGGATGTGGAGGAGGACGACGACGATGATGGAGGTTGGAGGAGGTAGGGATGTGGTGGATGGGAGAGGATGATGGACATGTCGTGGAGGCAAAGGAGGAGGAGATGCCAGGACGCGGGGCCTAGGCCTGGGAAGGTGTTCGAGAATCAGGTCGGCCCCTGCTTCGACCGCGTGACCGGGCAGAGCATCAATCCAAGGTGGATGAGCAGAGGGAGAGAAAGAGAGAGAGAGAGAGAGACACAAACACACACACACACACACTCACAGACACATACTGACACACACACACACACAAACACACACACACACACACACTCACAGACACATACTGACACACACCCACACAAACACACACACACGCACACAAACACACACACACGCACACACACAAACACACACGCGCACACACAAACACACACACACACACACGCACGCATGCACGCACGCACGCACGCAGAAAGAGAGAGAGAGAGAAGTAATAATTATATATAGAGAGAGATGGATTCCTCCTTCCAGATTTCCAACGACACGATGTCTCCAACCGCCGCTTGTTCCTCAGACTTTCGCCCTCAGGGGCCGTTGTCGGGCCCATGAACAATCAGCATGACATGGATCCGGCGAGCGGCGGCGGGCCGGCCGCGCGGCGAGGCGACCTCCTTTGCCCGGCCTTGAGGAGGGGCTCACGTTCAGTTGCCCCCTGGGGGGATCTGGGGAGGGTTACCCCCCGAAATCTGACTCTCAGGGACAACGATCGGGGGGATATGCATAGGGGGGGACGCATCGACCCCCAATCGCCCATTGATCGCCGATAGGTGTCCGAGAGCCCCAACCTCCCCAGGAACGTGCGGATTCACTATCGGAGGCCTATCGCCGATGTATCGGCGACGTATCGCCGATTCCAGCTCGATGCTTCCCCCCCTATCCCTATCCCCCCCTATCGTTGCCCCTCAGACTCTGGCCACGCGCGGAACGCCTGCGGAAGTCGGCGGAAGTCCAGCCGAAGACGGCCAAAGACGGGCAGGTACGGCCTCGGGCAGCGTCGAGGCGACCCGAGAGCGTTCCAAGAGGGCCCACAGCGACTCGGAAGCGTTCCAAGAGGGCTCAAGCTAGCCTCAAGACGGCCGCAGAGGTCCCCAAGACGCCGCGAGAGGCCTCCAATAGTACCCCAAACCAAGACAGCCTCAGAGGCCCCCAATATCGCACCAAGACGGCCCAATACGCCCCCAAGAGGCCCCCAAGAGCGCCCCAAGTTGCCCCAAGAGATCCCTCACAGATACCCAAGACGACCCAAGAGGGGCACCGGCGGGCCCAAAAATCCTCCTAAGAGAGCCCCAAGAGCGCCATGGGTGGCACCACCAAGGGCCCCAAGACCGCCCAAGCACTCCAAGACGGCCTGAGAGAGCCCCGAACCTCCCGAAAACGGCCCCAAGACTGCCCTCGAGGGCCTCCCAACGGACCCCCGCGAAGGGCTGCAGAGACTGACCCCTGGAGAGCTCTGCAGCTGTCTTGACGACGCGCGTCCTGCGGTGGCTCGCGTGGCAGCGTGCTGAGCTGACCTCGTGGGTCGCTTGGTACTGTGACCACCTTACCCTGTCATCGGCGAGCTCTGTCTTCCCTTACCATCGCTGGCGGACTACACCTGCGGGTGGCTCGCATGGTAGCGTACTGAGCTCACCTTGTGGCTCGCTTGGTAATGTGATCACCTCGCCCCGTGATCGGCCACCTCTTTCCTCCCTTTCCCTCGCTGGCGGACGGTCATTCATTGTCCCTGGGTCCGCTGTCGTCGTCCCCCACGCGACCACCCCGCGACCCACCCGCGACCCACCCGCGGCCCTCCCACGACGCATCCGCGACCCACCCGCGACCCACTCCACGACCCACCCGCGACCCACCGCCGACCAACCTGCCGCGACACACTGGCCGCGATCTACCAGTGACCCCCGCGACCCACCCCGTGACCCACCCGCTACGATTCACCCGCGACCCGCCCGCGCCCGCCCCCTCACTCTTATCCACAATTGCGGGGTGCTACATAGCGTAAGCACAGGTGGCTCGCATGGTAGCGTGCTAAGCTCGCCTTGTGGCTCGCTTGGTAATGTGTTCACCTGACCCCGTGATTGGCGAGCTCTTTTCCTCTCCTCCCCTGTCCGTGCCTCCTGGGCTCACAGGGCCGCGTGCTGAGCTCACCCCGTCGTCGACGTCCTCTTTGTCTCACTTTCTCTCTCCGTGCCTGCTTCGTCTCTTCGGCACACCCCGTCGAGACGACGACCAGCGCTTGCTCTGTGACGGCTAACCTGGCTCACGTCCAGAGAGCCTCCCGCCCTTCGCAATGACGTGGCCTCTTACGGTGGCACGTGACACCGCAGGCGGCTCGCACCGCAGAGTGTGGAGTTCGCTTGGTGGCTCGCATGGTGCCTTCCCTCCCGTGTGCCTGCTTGCCTCGCACTGCCGCGTGCTCAGCTTACCCCGTCGTCGGTGTCCTCTGGTTCTCCCCTTTCCCTCTCCGTGCCACCGCCCCTGGTTCGGAATACTCTGTCGAGGCGACGCAAAGTCCTCGTGTTGTGACGCTTCAGCCCCAGAGGGCCGCCCGCCGTTCGCAACGACGCGGCCTCTTACAATGGCACGTGCCACCGCAGGTGGCTCGAATGGTAACGTGCTATGCTCAGCTGGTGGCTCGCATGGTACTGCGCTGAGTCGGTGCACCTTGTCGTCGACATGCTCTCTTTCTCCCTCTCCCTCTCCGCGCCTCCGTAGCCAGCGAGCTCTCTTTATCCTTCTCCGTGTCCTCCTTCAACCAGCTTTTCTATGAGCCCGCCCATCCGTTGTCGTCTGGCTCAGCCCACACGCCCGCTTCTTCCCTCCGGGCCGCATGGCTACGCCTACGAAGTGGCCCCGCACACGCACCTCGGATTTCATTCCCACACGGGTTGCGATTTACGGAGATGGCCAGGGTGCTTCACTGACATCGGGATTCCAAGGCTGGAAGCCATTCAAGAAGCAACGCTAAGGCACCTCCGACATCACGATCGAAGATTGATGCGTCACCATTGGGGTGCCTTTCAAAGGGTACCGAATTGACCTACGTTCGGAATGCGTCCAACAGATTCTGACTGCCGCGCGCCCGCTTGTCCGCAGCTCCCCCACAGAACTGCCCACCCCCACCAGGTGGCCTCGAACACTCACCTCCAGTTTCATTCGCAAGTGGATTGCGGAGCATGCAGTTGCCTGGGAAGCGTCACTGGAATCGGGACTACAAGCTTAGAAGCCATTGAAAAGGCAACGGCAGGGCACCTCCGGCATCACGCTCGAAACTTCGAATTTTGAGGTCACGGAAGATGGGCATGTTTTCACAGCACGGCCCCGCGGCGCACCCTATGGCGATACCAACGCCTACAGCGCAGCTGCATATTTTCCCTGACCTTGAGGGGCCCCCGTTTAGTATCCCCCTCGGGGGGTCGGAGTCTGAGAGGTACATCTGGCCCCGGCCACGGGTAGAGCGCCGGCGAAAACCAGCGGAAATCTAGCCAGCAATTTGGTGGACGCGCCTCCGGGCGGCGCGGGCGGCCCCAAGATGGTCCACAAGATGGTCCAAGAGAGCCAAGGGTCGTCGGCTGATCGGTCCAGTCCGTCCAAGATGGCCTCCAGACGGCCCAGAAAGCCCCCAGGATGCCCCAGGAGGCCTCCAAGAGGCCCTCCTAGAGAGCCCCAAGGGAGCCCTGGGGGGGTCTGGGGGACGCCCTCTGGGACATGGCCCCGGCCACGGGCGGAACGCCGGCGGAAGACTGCCGCTGTCGGCCCCATTTCGGCAGACGCGTTTCCGGGCGGCCCGGACGGCCACAAGATGGTCCGCAGGATGGTCCAAGAGGGCCAAGGGTCGCCGACTGATCGGTCCAGACTGACTGGCGCGAACTACTTCCAAACGTCACGAGAAGTTCCAAAACGGCCCAGGAAACCTCCAAGAGGCCTCCCAAGACAGCCCCGACTCCCTCTGCACGTGAATCAGGCTGACTCTGGCCTTCATCCACACGATCGAGAGCTAGAAGGCGCAGCGGCCTGCCAGGATGTCGTAGTACGGCTGCAGAGTCTGCATCTTGTACCTGAGGATGCGTGAAGATAAATGACGTATATGATGGTGATGTTCAACCCAATCAGCTTGAGAGACACCTTCTAGGGGATCCCAGCACGCACAAAACCACCCATTGAGTAGTAAGGCTGCCCGCTTTGAATCAGGCACCAACCGTGGTAAGGTATGCGGGTGGATTTGCATCCGTGACCGCTGTTCTTCTGTGCTCCTGCACTCCCACAGGAGGTGGCGAGTGGTGGCCGGAACGCCACACGTCTCGCAATCATGAGGCACATCAGGATATACATGGTGAAGTCTATTTGGGCTGGGTTTTGCCCCAACCGCGCACGGCCATGCCCACGTGCGTTGTAGCTTGGGCTGCTGGTCCACGAAATTCCGGAGGGTCTTGACCTCCAGGCTCGGCAAGTCCAGCCGCTTCTTGCGAACCGTGGTGGTGCTGGCGTCCCTCATCATGAAGCTGCGCCACGCCTCGCGGACATAGTGGTCGAGCTTGCCCTTGGACATTGAGAAGGTGAACGGCGCCCCTGCGAAGGTCGGCGCGTACGGATCGTCGTTGGCGCACTGCCAGCCCATGCTGTCGAACGTGGTGCGCATGCGGCCAATCCAATTCTCGAGGAGCGGGGGCCCTCCGGCTATCGACCGCCATGCCCGCCGGATGAGCGGCTGCAAGGGGCCATTCTTCGTGCAGCGCAAGAGGCTGATGAAGCTGGAGAAGATGACGCCCACGGGTTCGATCAACCACCCCTTGTCGAGGAGGCATCAGGTGGCGCCCCGGTGTCGCCAGGTGGCTTGTCGTTGACGGCCGAGGAGGGTGTGCTCGACGCGAGTGCGCATGGAGCTGACGTCCGTTGCCTTCATGGAGCACCACGGCCCGTCCCAGCGAAGAAGGCTCATGGTGAAGAGAACGATTCTGAAGACCAGGGAGATGGCCAACTGAGCTCCGCCACACACGCGGCGGATCCTGCCCAAGCGGCTGTAGAGCTCCTTCCTGCGTCGGGCTGCCCGCGGGGCCTCCGAAGGCGTAGCCGTGCCTGTGAGGTCAAAGCGGACGCCGAGGAGGTCCAGGTGCCCCTGGATGGGCTTGCCGGCCCTCTCGCGCTCCTGCAGGTCCTGGGGAAAGGTTGAAGTTCGCCCACTCCTCCTTGCTGGGGTTCTCCTTGCTGGGGTCCTCCTTCTTGCCACTCGCGATGTCCAGCTCCTTGAGAGACCCCTCGACAGCGATCGTGGTGTCGATGTCCCAAGCGGTGAGGGTGCGGTCGTCCACGTACGTGCGGAACGAAAAATAATCAGGATTGTGCAGGGCGACCAACCGCCGCGCGTGGGCCCCAGCGAACTGGGCGGCGGCCAGCGGCGACGCAGGGTAACCTTGCGGCATACCACGCTCTGGGCAGATGGGGTCCGAAGCGTATCCTCCCTCCTTCACGACCGCGGACGTGCCGACGGCGGACAAGAACAGGAGCTTGCTGTCCACTTCATGCATGCATGCCGAACGCCATCGCGAGGCGGTGGGCCAGCTCAGGTTGCAGCCTGGTGAAGCAATTCGACAAGTCAGACTGTCGAACGATGAAGGGTGCGCCAGAAGCTCGCGCGGTCTCTATATCCAAGTCCATGCAGAGCCTGTTCTGAATCGTGTTGGCGGGCTGCACAGCCTCAGCCCATCTCTTGTATCGCCCCAGGATCACTTTCTGAAGAGCGCGGAAGACGGCCGCGCCGACTATGATAGGCCGCAGATCCTCCGTAAAGACGCCATCGCGGACTTTGGGAACCATGGTGGTCACGGCCGTGCGGAGAGCGGTCGGCCACTGGCCGCTGGCCCGGATGGCGTCCCCCAGGGCGGCGAGCGATTCAATGGAATCTTCGGGTGCCTTGGCGAGAAGCCCCGCCTCGATGTCGCCAGTGCCACTGGCGGTGCCGGCGATCGCCCGCAAGGCGCCGCGGAGGGCCCCGGGGTTGTCGCCGAAGGCCCACTCAGCCGAGGGCGCCGGCAGAACCTCGATGGAGTCGCGCACCATCTCGAAGTAGGCGTTCTGGCGCCAGTCGTCCAGCTTAGCGTGCTGCTTGGCGCTCACCTGCCTGACAGCCTCGGCGACCAGCCGGGACGGTTCCGCGGTCGGCTTCGCCGCCGTCTTCTGTCCAGCCCCGTCCGTCGCAACCGCGGGAGGCGCAGAGAAAGGCTTGTTCTTGACCGCGTCGGAAATGGCCTTGACGTTGCCTCCCTGCGTGCGGGCGCGCCACTGCTGGATGCGGGCGTCGGCGTTCTCCTGGGCCATCTTGCACAGTCGTGCCTTCAGGGTGTCCTGAAGCGCCGGGTAGTCGAGGAGGTCGGTGTCCTGGTCCAGCACCCCGTCGGCGATGAGGCTCTGGAGCCGGTGATGCGTCGGTGATGCGTCGCACCAGCCGGTGCAGCCGTCGCTCAAGACAGCCCCGAGAATCACAATTCATTGGTTCTGTGTTAGTTTTCGAAAGATTTTGTTCGCATGCTCGCTTTTTCAGCTTCCTGACGCTCCAAGGCTGCCCAAGAGACTTCAAAGATCGCGCCAATCCAGCCGAAGAGGCCGTCAAGGGAGCGCCCAGACGGCCCAAGACGCCCCCAAGACGGCCCAAGAGGCCTGCAAGACGGCCTACGAAGGTCCCAGGGACGCCCCAAGACGGGCCGCACAGAGGGAGCAGGGACCGACATTTCCAGTTCTCAGCCCAAAAACCTCCAAAGGCCCTCAAGAGGCCCCAAGAAGATCCAAGAGGCCTTCAGGACCCCCCCTCCAAGAAGGCCCCAAGACTGCCCAAGAGGGCCCCGCCACGACAAAGCGTCACAGCGCCAAACGGACAGCACGGGAACCAACATGAGGCGCCCTCAGGCATCCAAGGTGGAGGAGGAGGAGGAGGAGGAGGAGGACGACGACGAGGAGGAGGAGGAGGACGAGGAGGAGGAGGTGGTGGAGGTGGAGGTGGAGGAGGAGGTGGAGGAGGAGGAGGAGGAGAACGAGGTGGAGGTGGAGGTGGAGGGGGAGGTGGAGGAGGAGGAGGAGGAGGAGGAGGAGGAGGAGGAGGAGGAGGGAGGAGGAGGAGCTCAAACTGAGCTGGATGGGTCGATCTGGACCCTTCTAGTGCAAAGCCGCTCTTTGATACCCACTTCCCCTCCAAGGCCGGGATTCGTGGCAATATCAGGTTTGCAGAGAGAGATCGGCAGGCTCCGGCCACTGGGGCCAAGTCGAAGGCCTCCACCCGCGGCAGTTTAAGGGCGGATTCTCTGGGCTTCCCCTGAGATCCGTCGGGAGCGGATTTTTTTTGAGCAGGGCATCAATCTTTTCGAGCTGGGCGTTTTCGTCAAGTTGCGGGCCCCGAGGCCCTCTCAGTTCGATCCGGATCGAAAAATGGCGCAGAAAGATGAGATCCAGGGCTCGGGCCGTGATTTTTTATCCTGAGTGCCTAAATAATTAGTTTTGGGCCCCCGGGCTACAGGGGCCCCCCCTGAACCGCACCCTGGACTATCAGGGGCCCCCAGACTGCAGGGCCCCCCCCCCCGTACTATTGGTCACCCCAAAACTATATTTTTTCCCGACCTTGCGGAGGGGTTCCCGTTTAGCCAAGGGGGGGTCTGGGGGGGGACCCCCGGGACATGGCCCCGGCCACGGGCGCAACGCCGGCGGAAGCCGGCAGAAGATGGCCGCTGTCGGCCTCATTTCGGCAGACGCGTTTCCGGGCGGCCCGGACGGCCCCAAGACGGTCCGCAAGATGGTCCAAGGGGGCCACGAGTCGCCGAAAATTCGATCCAAGACGCTCAAGATGGCTTCAAGATGGTCTCCGGGAAGCCTCCAAGAGGTCCCCCAAGAGAGTCCCAAGAGTCACAATTCACATGTTTTCCTTAGTTGGTTGAGAGTTTGTCGCGTTTTCGCCTTATCGGCCTCCCGACGCTCCAAGACGGCCCAAGAGGCACCAAGAATCGCCCCACAACGGCCACCAACCGTAGCCATTTTGGCTCAGGCAAAGAAGCGTGCACCAGGCTGCGACGTGCCAGTGTGGCCAGTCTTTCAGATCCATGCAGGATCTACCCTGCTGCAGATGACAAAAGGCCAAGGCTACCAGTCAATGAGCCGGAGTGGCAAGTACACGTACACAGCGTTTGCCTGGGTTGTGTTGACTCTATCGTTTGCGTACGTCGTGATGGTTGTGGTCGAAGGCGGGAGGGGAGTGTACAAGGAGTGTGTTGTGATCGAGAGCCACGAGGCGATCACTCGTCATCTGGGCAAGGAGGACTTTGCGCAGTACTCTTTTGGCAACTCGATCATCAACCTAATCGCTTTCTTACCGACAGCGCCTGTGGCCGCCTGCCTGCTTGCATTCGCTGCAACCCCTTATCTGCGCCGAGTGTCCGAGTACGCCTTGGTTCTGTGGGCGAGCAAGTGGATGCATGTGGTCTCTAACCTGCTGGAGTGCTCCGGCTGGTCTACCTGGATTGTGATGGTGCCTGGCTATCTCTTCCTCGTGTTGTACTTAAGTTCATTCGTCATGTTCCTCGCGCTTCTACTGCGCCAGGTCAGAGCCCTGGAGGACAGTTCCTACTTGGACCTTGGCTCGTCGCGTCTGCGTTCAGCTCTGAGGCGCCTGTCGGCAACCCTCGTCTTCACCGCGCTGGCGGCCATGGCTTGGAATTCCGGTCTCGGTGGAGACCAGGGCGAGCATCCGATGAGAGTGGTCACTTCGATGCTCTCCTGGGCGTCCCAAGCTCAGATCCTGCACGTCTCCCTGCTTCCGCTCCTGGCGATCCGACGAGTGCGGAGGCTGGCTTCAGACGCGCTGCTGTCGGAGAGCGCCAGGACGCTCGAGGAAGCCAGGCGGGCTCCGAGATTTCTCAGGCTCCAGGAGTTCGGTGTCGCCACCAGCCTGGCCACCTCTGTCGTCTGGCAAGCCCTGTGGATCTGGTCCTACCGGGCCCTCTGGCCGCTGCCCGACGCGAGCGAGGAGGCGAAGACGCCGCTGTTCGTGCTCGCCGTGTCGCAGCTGCCTGGGATGGTAGACACGATCTTCAACGCGCTGGCGAGCCTTGCGATCAGCGGAGCGTTCTGCGGCGCCCTGGGCGGTGGGAGGGCGTTGCTCAAAGGCGAGGCGGCGCGCTTCGAGAAGTGGTCGAAGGCTGCGAAGGAGTGGTCTTCTCATCCGGATGCCGACTGGCAGGCAAAGGTTGCAGAGATGGCTGGCCGAGGGGTATCTCTGAGAGCCCTGCTCGGTTTCTATCGCCGCCTGGGCGAAGACCTGATGCCTGGCTTCGACCCCGCGCGCCACACCACGCATGACGTGGTGTTCCGAGCGATCATCCCTGCATCGAGCCATCATCGGAAGTCCATGGCGCAGGTTATGATGGAGGACAAGCGTGTAGAACCCGACCAGATGGTGACCCATAATTGGCAGAACTTGTTCTCGGACTTGATTTCTGCTATCGTCGCAGACGCACTGGGCGAAAAGGAGTACTGCAGGGTGTCTTACTTGCTTCTAAACGACATCGACACTATTGAGAGCTGGATCGATTCTGCTGCCGTCGGTCAGCGCACCTACTGGGTATGCGCCTTTTGCGTCAACCAGCACACATCCACCTGCGAAAACACATATGGGATGAAGGACTCTGTGACAGGCGAGGAGTATCCGGCTTGCAAGTGTGGGCTGTCCAAAGCATTCAACAAGACCCCACCGCTGTCCAGCGAGGGACAAAGCATCGAGTGTGAGATGAACAAGTTTGACCCCATGGTCAAGACCCTCTCGGCCAGAAGCAAGGACTTCGCGCAGCTCGTTGCGGTGGACAGGCGCTTCGAGGTGTTCAACCGAGCGTGGTGCGTCGCCGAGATTGCGGCATCAAACTCCATGGGAATGGGCCAGAAGTTGCAGCTCCCATCGCGACGGATACTACTTCAGGAGAACCTGCACGTGCTCTCCCACCTGGAGATTCGCAGCATGCAGGCCAGCAGGGACGAGGACAAGGAGGAGATCTTAAACCACATCTCGGACCACGAGGCCTTCGACAGGAGGCTCAGAGACATGCTGCTGGTCCATCTGCTGCCCTCGTGGTCCACTCTGGACTCGTGGGACCAGATGTTTTTGGCAGGCCGGGTTGCTCGCTGGCACGGCGTCGCCTGCAAGCTAACCAGCAAGGTGTGGGATCCAGATCTCGAGTAGCGGTTCGATGCGGTGAGCCATCTGGACCTGTGCGCACGTTTTGGGTGTTTGCTCGAATCCATTGCCGAATAGCAGTGTGACTCTTGTTCTCGTATTGCCTTCGCTCTCAAGCCCAAACTGGCAGGATCTTGCCATCCTCAGTCGAGCCTCAACCTTACAGTCCCGCTGCTCTGGCTGTTTTTATATCCTGATATCCCCAAGATGGCCCCATGAACGCCCCAAGAGGGGCCCCAAAGGGGTGCCTGTTTTCGTTCTCTTTTGCTTCCCTGGGGAGGATACGCAGACATTCAAATCTGCCCCTCTCCCTCCGGACCAGAGAGGGGGGGGGGGGGCAGGGACCGACATTTTGGGCTCTCCGCCCAACATTCGCCCCAGGAGGCCCCAAGAGGCCTCAAGAAGATTCTAAGAGGTCCCCTGGAAGCCCCCAGAGGCCCCCAAGAGGGCCCCAAGACTGCCTAAGAGGGCCCTGAGATGGTAGGAGACGCCCCGATGCCCGAAGACTGCCCCACGGTCGGAGACGCCCCGATAAAGTTGCACAGAGTAAAACAGACAGCAGGGGAACCAGCATAATGCGCCTTTTAAGCGGCACAGCGTCAAACGGACAACACAGGAATCTGCATTATGCGCCCTATAGGCATCCTCCTCTTGGTTTTTCTCTTCCTCGCAAGTCACGCCCACTTGTCTCACAAGGTCGGGGTGCGTGGCAATATCAGGTTCCGCGCCGTCGGACTTCAGGGTCTCAGCGTGGGGTCGGAGGATTGCGCCGCATCGCCGATGTGTCGGGGATGTGGCTCGATGTGGAGCCCGATGTTCTCTCGGCGTCGCCCCAACATACTGATACTATGAGTGCGTTGCCCTCCCAGGGGACATGAGCGCACTGAGAAATCCTATGGTATAAGCTCTGTGGCGGGCGCTTTCTGGCCACACCGTCTGGGAAACGAAAGATTACAAAATGGATATACTACATGTTCGGGTCGGACGGGGGCCTCCGAGGAGGACACACAGTACTAGTATGTGGTTGTGAGTCCCAAGTTCTCCACCCCGACGGCGCCGATGTGTCGCCGACGTCGCCGATGCATCGCCGATGTATCGGCGATGCGTCGCG